ATTATAAAAATTTTGATCTATCACTCATTACTTTATGCAATCAAAAATTTTGTGATTCTGTATACACGAACTCATCCGGTGTCAATTTGATATCATATCATTTATTCTCCGATCCTTGTATCATAAAATATAATAGATGTATTTTCATTAAATGATCTTGAGAGTAAAAATTACGTGGGATTTAACTTATTTACACTTTTTTGTGTGACTCATTTTTTCCAAATGATTATCTTATTAGTGATTGTTAAAAACAAATCAATAAAATTTGACGGATAAAATCCAACATTTTATTCTCTTTCCTTTAATATTGGATTTATTTTTGAAATTTGAATCATGCAGAAAGCAACAACAACGACCTTCATCTTTTGTCCAACTTGGTAAGAAAGTATCGCAATGTTATTATGATTTTCATAAATAACATAGTTTGGCTTTCATTGTTATAGTCGCAATATGTTACGGCCATCAGTTGATGCCGAAGACAAACAACTTTACTATCGATGCTGTGCTTGTAGTTATAAACATTTGGCTGAAAAAGATGAATGTTTAGTCCGTTTCAGAGAAGTCAAGCCTCCATCAAAGTAAATCTTTACGTATTTTTTTACTCATTTGGATAATTTATGTCATGGGAAAATAATAAATTGGATGTGACGCGTGACATTTTAGTTACCTTAAAGAAACTTTAGAAAAGATCAAATCCGATCCAACCTTGACACGTTGTATTGTAGATTGTATGAAGTGTCAAACCAGGGCGGTGGCCGTGGAAGTACACGAAAGGATTTCAACAAAGATGAATTTGTAATTTATATCACTTCTTTAATACAGTTAAAGCTCGACATAGCGAATCACTTCTCTAATACAGTTAAAGCTCGACATAGCGAAGTCCACATTTTGACCTTAATGCCTTCGCTATAGAGAAATATTCGATTATCAGAAAACAAATTTATATGTTCTGGCATATTTATGATGCAAAAAACTTTTCGTTATTCCAAAATATTCGCTATGTAAAAATTCGCTATCTCGAGCGTTAACTGTAATAAATTTGATTTTTGTCTTTTATTATTTTTTATTATTCTAATTTCGCTGAATTTTAGGATGTACGTGTGCGAGGAATGTAAAACGATTCAACGTCCATCACGTTTAATTAAGGCTATGATTTCCAATAAAGATGTATTTGAAAGTATGGAAAATATAGATGAGAATATTGACCTTGAGCAGGAAACAGATCTTGTTTCTCAGAATCAAGAGGAAAACACCGCGGGTTGGGATGAGTTCGTGTATACAGAATCACAAAATTTTTGATTGCATAAAGTAATGAGTGATAGATCAAAATTTTTATAAT